AACATTAGCACTTGTTGTTATCACCATGCTAACATTAGCACTTGTTGCTATCACCGTGCTAACATTAACCCTAACTGCCATCACCATGCTAACATTAGCACTTGTTGTTATCACCATGCTAACATTAGCACTTGTTGTTATCACCATGCTAACATTAGCACTTGTTGCTATCACCATGCTAACATTAACCCTAACTGCCATCACCCTGCTAACATTAGCCCTCGTTGCCATCACCATGCTAACATTAGCACTTGTTGTTATCACCATGCTAACATTAGCAATTGTTGATATCACCATACTAACATTAGCAGTTGTTGCCATCACCATGCTAACAATAGCCCTTGTTACTATCACGATGCTAACATTAGCCCTCCCAACAATGACCACTCCTGTCTGTTTTCCAGCAATCAGAGGCAGTTAGAGTTTCTGCTGGTCAGTGACCACAAAACGATGGTAAACAAACCATAGCTAGCTGCTAATATTGCTAACACGTCTCCACATTAATTTAAATAGACACAAGTCAATAGGTACTAATTTTCCCCATGTTTAATGTGTGCTGTATTCATACTCACAATATATGAGTCATATGTGTGTCATTGCTAAATACAGTCTTTATGTTCAGGTATACATATTTTATGTATATTATGTATGGTGTTTTGCACTGATTGTTATTTGTATTCCTTTGTAGAACCAAAGTAGATCTACAACAAAACCAGACATCTGCTTCCGTGTCTTTTAACAGGGACACATTCCATACACGTTGCCGTTCTAAACCAGCTAACTCCTGGAGAACAACTCATCTCCTTCTTAGGTACCCTCAGGGAATAAAAAGGGTATGAAGTATTCCTTTTCTCCTTTAAATGCTTAAAAATGAATTTAAAGACCATTTTAGAGGCAAAACACCAGATTATGACTCCTTTAACATCCATGTTTACACTGAAATGTCATCATTTCAGTGATTTTATCAGTTGGGTTTATTTTTTTATTCTACTTGATGTTTGGGTGTTACCACCTTAGTGAAAGAGTTGGGCTGAAATACCTGGGTTAGCATTAGGCTATGCTAACCCTTGGTATTACTTCCCTTCTTTCGGGTTATGGTAACCATCATCTTCATCAGCAGAGTTCAGCAGAGGCTGCTGGGAAACTTACATTGTCTGTGAAAACGACCCCGAGCTTCCAGATCTGGTACTTCACATCGATGGAGTTGAGCCTGTTAGGGGACAGAGAACAGGCTGGGTGTGAAGTAAACTATAACCTTCAAACAAATGCATGAAGTCTTTGAAATGATGCAGCTTAAGCTGC